ACCACCTACTTGTTGGCCTCTTGTACCCTCACAAGGCATCTGAGCCAGGAGAGCTGTCATCTGGACTTTTCAGTGATTGGGTATCGGGATTGGGGTCTGTTAACGTTCTCCTGTGTTAGGAAACCCACTGTAGAAATCAGGATGAGAGAGAAGGGCTGTGTCTGTTCATTGTTATGTTATCTTCCTACAAAACAGGATCCAGTCTAGCTGGATATAAATTTGAGATTGTAGAGAGAGCAAGGAGGAAAGGGAAGGGGAAGAGTGATTGAGAGATTGAATGTTGAGAAAGAATAGGAGAGATAGGGCTCTCTTTCCTTCTGACTGCCTGGGTAGGCAAGACTGTGTCATAGAACAGAAAGAATTTGTCCACCTGGAGCTAGCAGAGCCAAACTCTAAAATACTGAGAATTGCAGTGGAGAAAGATTGATTATTCTATTGATGAGCTAGAAGCCCATTGCACGAAGAGATTTGTGCAATAGGCCTTCCTTCCCCTGGCTGCCGGCACTGGTTTTCTTCCGGCACCCGGGACCCAGGCCTTCACTCTGGCCGCAGCGGAGAAGCCAAGCCTGGAGGCTTCTCAGCTCCGACCGCAGCGGAGAAGCCAAGCCTCTTCAGTCTTCAGTCGTCTTCAGTCTTCGCTCGGGCGGAGCCTTCAGTCTTTGCTCTGCACCTGCATATGCAAATTAACCACTATCTTTGTTGGGTTAATTTGCATACTTATCCTGATTGGCTGGTGGGCGTAGCGGAGTGACACCAATTTGCATGTATCTCTTTTATTAGTGTAGATAGTGCCATCCAGGAGAATGGGAATCTACTGCTTAAAAGCCTGAACTCCTTTAGGGTTAGGTTTAGAAAAATGAAAAAGAAAAGGAAAAAAAACAAAAACCTGAACTCCCTGATCCAGAGTTCCAGGAGAGTTTGTAAGGAGTTAGGGGAACAGGTGTGCAGAAGTGCTGGTGGGGCAAGTTTTCATTGGAGGACCTTGGACCATGGACCCTCTGCTTCTAAAGGGTTCTCGTGCTCAAGTTCCCATTATGTCCTGGTTCTTTGGTTCTGTGTGGCAGGGAGGGCACAAGCCTGGTTCTGGACGCAGCTGGAGGTCAGTTCTCTGAGCATGTGTCAGCTTCATGCCTTGTGGTTTTGGTCTGTTGTCCCTGAAAAGCATCTCAGTATCCTGTTAAAGAGGATAGGACCATTTTCTGGTTCTGTGGGTATAATGGCTTCATACCAAAGTGCAGTTCAGAGAAGCCATTCTGTAGCCTAGTGCACAGTAAATTGTGCTCAGCTCTCTGCTACTGCCTTTCCCACTGCCCAGGACAGACAGAAGGACCGAATGGACCACTTCTCTTTCTGGAAGTCCTGCATGAACACTGATTTCTTAGCTGAGTATTTGTTAGCCATTGGCAGCACTAATTTCAGGACAGCACTTAACTATTCAGGACCTGCAGTATTGCATTCTGTGTTGTCAGTTAGAAATGAACCCATTTCCGTTAAGTGCAGTTGAGCTGGTAGACATAATTTGTATAAAAATTTAAGGCTCTGTTTTCCTCCATTTCTGTACTTTGGGAAAGTTTTTATTTATAAACACACTGTTCAAAGGTTCCCTCTTCAGTGACACCTTCCTACACTCACCCTGCAGAGGTAATTTTCTTTGTACATAATTTTATCTCCTAAGCACTCATTTTATACGTGTTATTATCTCACTACAGCATTGGATTGTAATTCTGTGTCCCTGTCTCCTGCTAGGTTTGGGTGCCTCAAGGTTAGGTCTAGGTCTCAGTCATCTTTATTTTCCCACACCACCCAGGACAAAGTCTGACATAACATACAGAGAGCACAATAGTGGGTATTCCGGAAATGTTAAATGAATAAATGATATACAATTTGAGACCTGACATCCATTCTGGACGTAGGTGCATATTCTGGATGTAGTTGTTAAAATTGGGATACTATGTTCATTGGCAAATTCTTGTGCTCTTTTTTCTCATTGGTTGTAGAATAACTGCCTGATGTGTTTCGTGGTGACAAGATGTGCTATGTTTGATTGCTTGTTGATAATGAGCAGTGACAAATGTGGTCCTAGTATGGCTGCTTTGGTTTCAAGGTCATTTCTTTCTCGTTGTTGAGCGTAAGTGGGTTTTACATGTTAAGATGTTAGCTTATGAAACCTGGTGGCTTATGTGTATTAGTTATGTTCTGGAGCATTTATCATCGTCTGACCTCTGTAACCCTGGGTTTTCATTGGGATCAAATGAGATTTGTGCAGGATGAGCGCTGAGTTGATGCTCAGCATATCTAATGTGCAGTGAGCTGATCAAACATCTTTTACTGAGTTTTGACCTTTTTTTTGCTTCAAAATTGTAATTTCTAACTCATCTCAGAACCTTCATTATACGTTTCATCTCACAAATAAGTTTGCTCTCAAGGAAAGGGATTTATTTTTAAAGTGTATAGCTTATCAGTAATATGAACATTTTTAGTAGGTTAAACAGTCTTTTCTGTTACAATTGGTTAAGTTTCCTTTCTGTTTTATTTACCTGGCTTTTTAATGATCGAAAAAAATTTTGGAGGCAAAAAAGAAAAAATTGGTTTTAGAAATCTGTAAAATGTGTTTTCTTGGGATGATGATGTTAGAAGGGGAGATGAGAAGCTTTCGTCCAATTTCTGTTCTTACCAGTTTCAAGGTGAGATCAGACGGAGTAGTCGGACCAGAGGCCCCTTCCCTTCCCTCTTTCTAGCCCCAAGCGCTCACCAAGTCCTCAGGTGTGTGGGGAAAGGCTTAACATTATGCATCCTTGACACGAGCGGGGAAATGGAGAGCCAAGGGCTCAACTACAAGTCCCCTCCCTGAAGTGCTCTTATGGATAGGGTGTCCTCACCAAATAACCCTCTGGGACCCCAGCCAGCTGACAGCCTGATTTTGGTCTTGTGAGAAATCACCTTATCTCAGAACTTGGAGCTCATAAATGGGTATTGCTGTAAGCCTACTTTGCTACGGCAGCAATAGAAGTCTAATGCAATTGTTTATTTTATTTTTTTCAACAACAGAAATTTATTTCTCATGGCACTGAAGGCAAGTGTTTAAAAGTGGTTAGTTGTGTGTGTTTTCATCTCCTTTGAAAAATCCAGGGGTAGTCAAACCTTTCTATTTAACATCAGTGGCAAGAAATAGCCAACCCACCTATTGTTTCCATTTCATGAGAAGTGTTCATAGCTTTATGTACTTAGAGGAACGATTCTGCTCTGTGTCCAACACACAGCTTAACATTTGGGTTGATTTTCTCTACTTGTATGAATCAGTGTTTCCATATGAATGATTATTTTAACACTAGAGCCACATTTTTGTCACTGTGGGCTCCAAAAGCAATTCATTAATTATAGCCTCTACTTCAAATATCTTTTTAAAATTTATTTTAAAAGTGAGTGATTTTAGACTTTCAACAATTGAGAAATGATAAGAAGCAGAATATTAAACATTGCATGATAAGTTGCTGTATAGATATGTTACTTTTAAAAATGTTGAAAAACTTAAACTGCTCTGTGAGTGCAAATAGTGGAGATTATACATATATATGAGTACAGTTTAGTCCTGTAATAAAATATTATAATAAAATGATTATGACACGTATTTAGTATGAGTAATTATTATTATTATATTAAATGAAATTAGGAATAAAAGGTACGGGGATTGCACAAGAAGTTATAATTCATATTTATAATTACTGCTACTGTTATATAGCAGGGCAAGCAGAGGGCAGGGAAGGGGGACTTGGGCAGGAGGGTTCTTCTGGATTCCTTTTTGACCCTTGATTCCTGACCCAGGAGTGTCGGGGGAGTGGGGATGTTTTCAACAGGTGAACACAAGTGCTGTGAATGCAGTGGCTTAGGGTGGACCGGCTCCTACCTCCCTGCTGTGAGAATTGACCCTTATTCATTCAGAAGCATAAGAAAATGGAAACTGGTTAGCTAGGCCCTCGGGATTCCAGTATTTGGCAAGGATAGCGAGGAGAGTCCCCCCAGTGTGTATTTCTAGGGGAACCCAGATGTCCCCTCCTCTGTGCGTCTGCTTGCTCTTCCCGCAGGTGGAGAGATGGGGCTGAAGGTGTGTTCTTGTTCTTTCAGTGATTTTATTTCACAAGTGTGAGGCCTAGGCCAAAAATTCTCCCATCACTGTCTAAGATTCTGTTCATTAAAGATTAATTTGAATTAATAAGCAAGTACCATAGGCTGGTTAAAGGCAGTAATTAAGAATGACCTCACACCTTCACATCATCATCATCATCATCATCACCACTAGCATGTGTTGCAAACTTAGTATGAAACAGGGACTATTCTGAAGACTGTCCATGAATTAACTTATTTAATCCTCACAGCAAGCCTATGAGGAAGGTTCGGAGACGGTCCAGTGCCTTGTTCCTAGTGCCACGGTGATGATGAGGGGAGAGCCAGGGCAGAATCCAACTGGGTCGGCCCTGGGACGCAGACCCTCAGCCACTGCGCTGAGCCACCTCTGCTGGACACTTCAGCAGGATTTGATTTTATTTGCTAGCTTTCTTTCTTCCATCTAGCAGCAACACCTGTCAGAGATGGGACTGGAAGTGAAGAGGGTGAGGACGTCTTAGAGGGAGACATACCTAACTGTAGGTGGGGCTGTGATGGAGATTTTGGAAAGAGACTTGGGCGGCATTCCCTATGGCCATTGTTTTGCCATCCAAAGCAGTAAGACACATTCACCAAAATCTTGATATTGCAGTCAGCGCTAGAATGCAACTAAGAACCCAGAGGTACTGTTTCTCCTCTCTGCTGCTCTCTGAACAGTGACATCGTTTTCTTTTAATGTTGTAGCCACAGAAAGTTCTTATGTATGTTTGTATATGACAAATTAAATGCTTTCCTTATTATTTAAATGTCACTTAAAATAACACTTTTCAAATGTTTTTGAAGTAAAGGCTAATGAAAAGCAACTAATTCTTATAATTACCCTTTTATTCCTCACACAGTATTGGCTGGATCCTGCAAAAACCCTTGCTGAACACAAAGAACTGATCAACAGTAGGTATTTAATTTATTTTTATTTTTTTTAGTAGGTATTTAATTTTAACCTGGTTAAGAGATGCCTTGAGAATGATATCATGCCCATGGTTAGTTGGGTACAGAATAGGCTCCAGTACTGCGGGGATGAGTACGAGTTCTTAGGTGCCAGAATCTGGAAATGGGTGTGTGTTTATTGCTGGGTCTCTGCAAACACTGATGAAATTCCAGTTGATAAAGACTGAGAGGATCTTAGTATTGAATTTTGCTTGGTGTATTCCTGCTGATGACTTTAGTTAATTTTCTAGTTGCTTGTCTTTCAATTTTCACCTTAAAATAGAAAAGGCAGAGAGGCTCTGATTTGGAAAAAGGTGGATATCTGACCTTTTAAAGCGCTTGCGTGTCTTGAGTTAGAGTAGTTTTTGTCATACCATTCACTTTGCCGAGTCTGTAATTAAGAAGTGCCTTTACCCTAGCCTAGTCGGTTTGGTTCAGTGGATAGAGTATCCTCTTGCAGACTGAAGGGTCCCAGGTTCGATTCCAGTCAAGGGCACATGCCCAGGTTGCAGGCTCGATCCCCAATAGGGGGCGTGCAGGAGGCAGCCGATCAATGATTCTCACTCATCATTGATGTTTCTTTCTCTCTCTCCCTCCCTCTCCCTCTCCCTCTCCCTCTCCCTCTCCCTCTCCCTCTCCCTCTCCCTCTCCCCCTCTCCCTTCCTCTCTGAAATCAATAAAAATACATTTAAAAAAGAATAAAACATTGATATTACCATTGAAGAAAGATTATTTAACTGAAGAATACATAATCTTTATTTTTTATCTCATGAGATAGTTTGATAATTAATGGAGGAGAATGGCTCTCACATCTTCAGTAGATGTGTTACCTATCAGTCAGAAGGAATAGCGACAAAAATGACAGAACACTTGCTAGTCACCAGGATTCTCATGGGCAAGTCTTGATTTATTAATCTCTGTGTTAATGGAGGACTTTTAAAAATATATGTTTTTATTGATTTCACAGAGAAGAAGGGAGAGGGAAAGAAAAACATAATGATGAGAGAATCATCGATTGGCTGCCTCCTGTATGCACCCCACTGGGGATCAAGCCTGCAACCCAGGCATGTGCCCTGACCCAGAATCGAACTGTGACTTCTCGGTTCATAGGTTGACGCTCAACCACTAGTTACTCCAGTCGGGCTGGGGGACTTTTTATTACCATTAAAAGTCTTGAAATTAGTCTTTAAAAGGTAGATTAGAGGATTCCCAGCTTCTGGCTTCTATATATTTTGCTAAAGTGAAACAATATTAACTTACTTTGCATAAGGGTTTCTTAAAGGTAGATTGTGGAAAGACATGGATTCAAGATCATAATAACTTGGGAATTTGCTTCATTAGCACCTAGTTTTATAGTCAGTCTTAGACATAGCCTTGCTCCAAAAATGCCCATTTCCATGGCCTTTGATTGATCTATAAAACAGTGATGTTTATGAAAGATTTTGCTCATTCTATAGTTATTATAATTTCTTCCCTGAGAGGCTGTATGGAATAGTGGCCAGAAAGCACTGAACTCCAGGAGCAAACTTGATTCTTAGTTTGTGATCCCTGTGATCTTAGGAACTTACCTCCTTGGAGCTTCAACTGCCTTGCGTACATTACCAGGTGGCTGTTGAGAATCAGATGTTTAGGAAACATTTTTGTACTTTGCCAAATGCAATCAAATGGTAATGATGCCTTATACTTAGAACACACGCCATTTTATGTGTAAGTGGCCTATAAGTCCTTTAAGAAAATTAGCCCAAACCAAATGTTTCCAATTGTGTATTTTTCAAACTTCTGCATCACTGCTCATCACCAAACACGTTTGAAGTGGCTGGTTGATCAGGGTGTAATCTGTCATGTTCCAGAGGATAAAAGCAGCTCTGGACTCGGGACGAGGCCTTCTTTGTGCACAGTCTCAGCAGCATCTGTGCTCTTCCTGCCCCCAGATACCAACCCCAGTGGCCTGCAGGCACAGGCCGACCCATCTGCTCAGTAACACGGGGCTTGATTGACAAAGACGGATCAGCAGAGGGTGGACTTCCTGGCTCTTCTAAATATTTAATATTTAATAGTCTGTGCCTCCTTGACATCTATATTCAGGGAGAGGGGTGTGCTTGTCAGAAGCACAGTGGTTAACGTAGAAATCAAACATATGGATCAACTCTAATGGTAAAAAATACAACAAAGTTTCTTTTAGAATTTAGTTTTTAAAGAAGCTCTAGCATAAGGAGTGCCTACCCGGATGAGGGAGAGGTGCGGGGCTGTAGTCTCGGTTGTCTTCTGTGTCCCAGGGACAGGGCAGTGGGGTTCTACAAGCATAGCATGTGTGGGTCATAATAATAGTAAATACTGATGTAGTTTGTATATTAAAAGTGCATTGTGGGTTTATTACCTTTGTTCCATTTAATTTCCTTTCCCCAACTTCTAAAGTTTTTGAATTAATTTACTCATGAGACTTATAGTTCTGAATCTAAGACACAATGAAAATAGAAAAACTAGTCTACTAGTCTTTCTGTCTACTGCACACTATCAAAGACCGAGGGTCACAGGAGTAGGTGGGAGTATTTTTACTGAAGTGCATACTTTATACCTTTTTTATCTGTGTGGGAGAGCTTTTGTTGAAGAAGAAATTAGAAACTCTGATCACCAATCAGTGCACCAGGTAGCAAATCTGTTTAAAACAGTTTTAATATAAGATCTACTTAACACACCGCTGTGAAGTGTGCAGCTTGCAGAGAGTGCAGGTTAGATTCATACTCTCTGAAATGGAGATATTTCTAGGAAAAGCATAATATATTGTGGTTGGCACCCAAGGGGCTTGTGCCCTCTTCCACAATATGAGTGTTTAACTATTTTATGTTGGCCCATGTAGGTACGTTTCCAGGCTTTGTTTCATATATATTTGGTATTTGTGCATATAGTTCTTGTGTCTGGTACGTGATTGAGATGAGAAATGCCTTTTTAAATATGTAAGAACACATTCTTAGATTCAGAAAAGTTTAAGAATGAGACATATGTTGACCCTAATCCACATAGTTTCACTGATAATTTTTTTTTCTAAAAAGGTAAGAGTATACATGGTAAAATATTTCTAACAGATCAATTTTGCTAAGGGTAGAATAAATGTTCTCATTGGGAAAAATGGTTAATACGAGAGGGGACGGATGTGTTAGTTCACCTGATGGAGGAAACCCTTTCACAATGTATACGGATATCAAAGCATCCCCTTGCACTCTTTACGTATCTTACAATTTAATTTGTCACTTTTACCTCAATAAAGCTGTGGGGAAAGCTTGCCCCTGTTAGTAATTTTTTATGTGTTTTAGGGGAAAATAATTTAATAGATAACTCTCTTTTCCACAAAAGAGGTCATATTTCTGCAATCAGAAATGTACATTAGTGACCTTTCCCCATCCTCCCTCTGCACATTTAAACAGTTGCATTTAGGTTGTTTCCAGCTTTCTGTAGATTTTTTTTTTATATTTTTTGCAATAGTGATAGGTGGATGGTTTTTAAAAACATTTACTTTGTTTATAAATAATCTTTCTCCATTATGAAGAAAATGCATGTATGTTATAGAAAATGTGGCAAATAATAAATTAATAAAAATTGTGCATAACCTCACTAACCAGAGATAAGAGCTAGTAACATTCTAATGTATTCGGTCCTGCCTTTTCTTCTGTGTTTATGAACACACTAGAGGCCATGGATGGGGTCTGGCTGGCCCACCCCAATCGGGCCAGGCTGACTGGGGGGAGGGGCCTCGGGTTGTTGGCCAGCCGGCCCGCCCCCTGGTCGAACTCCTGGTTGAATTCCCAGTCAAACTCCCGGTCAAGGGGACAATTTGCATATTAGCCTTTTATTATATAGGATAGACCCATGGTCGGCAAACTGTGGCTCGTGAGCCACATGCGGCTCTTTGGCCCCTTGAGTGTGGCTCTTCCTAAGCTTTAGGAGTACCCTAATTAAGTTAATAACAATGTACCTACCTATATAGTTTAAGTTTAAAAAATTTGGCTCTCAAAAGAAATTTCAATCGTTGTACTGTTGATATTGGGCTCTGTTGACTAATGAGTTTGCCGACCACTGGGATAGACCATACATACACAGATACCTGCATAGTTGAAGTCTTACTTCATTTTATATTTCCTTTTGTCTTTAGAAATTCTTGGTGAATATAATTTTTAAATAACTTTATTGAGATAGTTGTGACATATAAAAATTGTATATATTTAAGGTATACAACTTAATATTTAGATATATGCATACATTGTGAAAAGATTAGCATAATCAAGCTAAATAACTTATTTATCACATCTTTATAGTTACCAGTATGTGTGAGAAAATTTAAATTTTATCCTCTTAGCATATTTCTAATATACAACACACTGTCAATAACTAACATCACCAGGTTGTATGTTAGATTCCCAGAACTCATTCATGTAGTATAACTGAAACTTCATACTCTTGACCAACATCTTCTCATTCCCCATCCCCCAGCCTCTGGCAGCTACCATTCTACCCTCTGCATCTATGCATGTGACTATTTTATTTTATATATTTTTTAATTTTTTAAAATTTTGTTTTCAGTTACAGTTCACATTCAATATTATTTTATATTGTGTGGGACTATTTTAGATTCCACATATAAGTGAGATCAAGTAGTATTTGTTGTGTCTGGCTTATTTCACCTAACATAATTCTCAAGTTTCATTCATGTTATCTCAAATTGGAGTATTTCCTTCTTTTTTATGGCTGAATAATATTCCATTGTGTGTGGGTGTGGGTGTACCACATTTTATTTATCTATTGTTTCATTGATGGACACTTCGATTGCTTACATATCTTAGCTATTGTGACTAATGTTGCAATGAACATGGGAATGTAGATATCTCTTTGAGATCTGTCTTTCATTTCTTTTGGATAAATACCCAGTAGTGGGATTGCTGGATCACATGGTAGCTCTATTTTTAATTTCTTGAGGAACTTCCATACTATTTCCCATAATGGCTGTACCAATTTACATTCTCACCAACACTTTTGTCTTTTTTTTTTTTTAACATTTTTTTACATTCCTACCAACAGTTGTCTTTTTGATAATAGCTATTCTTGTAGGTGTAAGGGGATGCCTCATTGTGGTTTTGATTTGCATTTCCCTGTTGATTAGCAATATTGAGCACCTTTTTGTGTATCTGTTGGCCATTTGTATGTCTATTTAGGTGCTTTGCCCATTTATTTATTGTTTTGTTTTTGCTATTGAGTTCTATGAGTTCCTCATATTTTGGATATTAACCCCTTATTTAGTAAATTGCTTGTAAATATTTTTGGAAATATAATTTTTAATAGTTGTATAATATTACACTACTACTTTGCCTAATTATTATGTTAAATCTAATTAATTTCTATTTCTTATTTTAGCTGGACCTCCATATACTTTGTATTTTGGTATTAAATTCTATGCTGAAGATCCATGTAAGCTTAAAGAAGAAATAACCAGGTACAGTATTGACTTAGCTTTTGAACAGTACATGTATGGCATATACAAAAGGCTTTATTTAAAAAATGGAGTCAACCATTTGGATGCATGTCTACCTGCATTTTGTAATGCATCTCCTGCGAGAGTTAAATTTAAACCAGCATTGCGTGAGGCAGATCAATGTCTGATGATAGATGTGTATGAACAGTGGTATGCACCTGGGTGACACAATGATGGATTTTGCATCTGTTACGATGGGATATTTCCGTATCATTCTTGTGAAGGATGCAGTCAGCCTCTGAAGTCATATAAAAGTAGCCGTTTGAACTGGGTAAAGGAAGGTATTTTAATGTTCAGTTTGTATATGTAAATATAAATTTGAAGAGCCATTTATTTCTTTTTTAATTGGTTATAGCTTAGATGTTAGCTGTCCAGGGGTTTCACTTATATCTCTGTAGGAAATTAAAAAGATGTTTTTAGTGTTTTATGATGTATTACTTCACCTTTGTCATTAAATGTTTTATTTCAGTTAAGGCAGAATTTTCAATAGGTGTTGATTCTGTTGTTAAGATAGCTCAATCCAGTATTTGAAAGTGGTTTATAAAGAGCAGGCAGTCCTGTGATATTTTCACTGTTCCACCTGTGACTAAATTGCACATGGTAGCAAAACAAAATCATTTCCCCAACTTTACAAGTAGAGCATAGTTCGTTATTCAAAAAATTTGAAATCATATCTTTGAAAACTAAGTTAGTCTGTGGTTTTGTTCCTATTCCATTTTTTCATCTTTCCCTTACACTTTGTTTTGCCTTGATTCTAGACTGCACACAAAAGAGTGATTTAATTGGATATTTTCTGTTATACCCTGAAGTGCTATAATTAGGCCTCTTCTTTAGTACTGTGCTGATGTCTGCGTTCACATTGTCTATCACCACATTGTTAGTGAGCATTTGGAAAGCAGGGCTGTCCATTCAGCTTTCTGTGAGCACACCTCTGTGGGAGAAGGGCCGGGGTGTTGGGGAGATGCTGAAGAGTGGGATTGTATTGATAAGAGTTTTATGAATATTCTTGCAGTCAAGAAGGATTTCTGAGTTGTGGACTCATGAGGAAACTGAGTCCAGGTGATATAAAAGCACATTTATTTCTGTAATTCATTAGGGAATTGTAAGGAAACAAAATTTTATGAAAATACAAGAAAAGTCCTCCATTTTGAGGTTGTAAGTAACCTCTCTGTGCCTGTTTCTTTGTAGAATTGTAGATGTACCTGTCTCATAAGGTTTTTGTAAGCTTCAATAAAATAGCATATGTGAAACTCTCATACAGTTGACCCTTGAACAACACCGGTTTGAAATGAGTGGGTGCACTTGTACATGGACTTTTTTCAATAAATGCTGTAAATGTATTCTTTCTTCTTTGTGATTTTCTTAATGATATTTTCTTTTCTCTTGCTTTATTGTAAGAATACAATATAACACATATAACTTACAGAATATATCTTGACTGTTTAAGTTATTGGTAAGGCTTCCAGGCAACAGTAGGCTATTAATAATTAAGTTTTGAGGGAGTCAAAAGTTATATATGAACTAGAGGCCCGGTGCACAAATTCGTGCACCAGTGGGGTCCCTCCGCCTGGCCTGCGGGATCAGCCGAAACCAGCTCTCTGACATCCCCCGAGGGGTCCTGGATTGCGAGAGGGCGCAGGCCAGGTCGAGGGACCGCACCGGTGCACAATCGGGGCTGGAGGGGGGCAGTGTCTTATAGTGCATTACATCCCATCTGTTCACCCGTCTTTTCCCTGATGACCAGACATTTCCTAACAGCTCATTAACAGAATACATAGATTTGTGTTATGTACAAACCCACAAATAATTTGGTGCCACCTGTTTTTCCTTAAGTATAGACCAGATCAGGAGGGGGAGAAAATGGCGGAGGCTTAGACGGACGTGTTGGTGCTTTGTCCCGGACCAGATGGGGGCGAGCAGCTGAAACGGGTAACAATCAGCCCGATCAAGCTGGGGAGGTTCAGCTGAGAGACAGTCTGCAGCCAGGAAAGACAGAAAACTCCTAAAAAATGCGGATGGTTGGAGATTGAGGCTGAAACCTCCCTCTGGGCGCCAGCGCAGCGGCGGGACCGCGCCATCTCAGGCAGCGTTCACCGGCATCCAGAGATCGGCTACTAGCCCTGCGGCTACTGACCCGGAGGCAGCGATTCGCAAACAGCGCGACTGCAAGAGCCAAGGGGAGACCTGCACCCCTCCACGGAAAGGTTGGACTTGCCTCGAAGGTACGGTTCGCAGTTCAGGTTGGAGCGAGGAATGCGCGCGCGCGGGCGCAGGGGAAAATCTGCGTCCGCCAAAATCCGCGCTCTCCAAAATCCGTGCCTCTTGCCGGGGGCTTGGGCGCGCACAGACACTCCGCGCGGTTCTGGAGGGTGGAACCCTGCGAGTTCCAGCAGCTTCCCAGGCTCTTGTTCGCACACTTCCTCTTACCTCTGTGGGTTTGAATGTTGAGCCCAGTGCATGTGAGTGCCCAGTTGGGGTCACTAGCAGAGCTTGTAGGGGAAGATTGTTTTTGGGGAGCCTGGGAAACAGAACTGGGAGTGGCGCTGGGGGAACCACCTCTGGGCGGAGCTGGTTCAGGTACAATAGGCAGCTCCTGGTCAGAGAGAACTTATAGCCTCGGAGGTCAACCCAGACACACTGCCACCCAGAGGCAGAGCCACGAACTGACTCCTCTGTAAATACAGATAAGGCAGTAAGGACTGTGGCTTACAACAAGGAGGAACAGTGTATCAGAGGGAAAGTCAACATTCTCCTGAATTCCCGGCGTGCCAATAAGAAGAGTAGAAGATCTGAAGCACCTGCATTACTGCACATTTTTATTTTTATTTTTTTAAATTACTTTTTCTCCTTTTAACTAAGAAAACATTTTTTTTTCATTTTTCTTTTTTCTCCATCACCCGATTTTGCCCTTTCAGCTACTACATTTTTATTTTTAACTAGTATTATTACCGCTACCATTTTACCATTTTTTAAAGTGTCATTTTATCTTGTCTTTATTTTATTTTGGGACTAATGTTCTCCATTCTATTTTCATCGTTCCTTTAGCAACATTTTTCTCTACCTCAATTTGCCTCTGTGCTAAACAATCTTCCCCACTTTCTCCCTTTTGCTGTCCTGTTTCTCTTACCCTACTCCAGCTTTAGATCTTCCCTATTCTTTTTATCCTCTGTCAAAATTTAACCCTGCTTAAATATCCTATGTCCAATCCCCTGTTCTAAATCCTTATACACCTTTCCCTCATCTTCCTTCACTATCCATTTTTTTTTCTCTCTCTTCTTCTTCTTTTCTCTCTCTATTGTTTTATCGTTGTTTGCCTGATTGACGAGTATATTTTTTTGTTTTTTGTTTTTTGTTTTTTTGTTTTGTTTTTTTTTTTGTTTTTTTTTTTGAGTGTTTGTGAGGTTAGACTGCTTATTCTTTTTATTTTCCTGCCCCTCCCTCTACCC